TCTTCAAGAAGATTTGGGATGAGAAACAAGTACCATCAGATTGGAAAGAAGGATACCTCATCAAAATACCAAAGGAAGGCGATCTCAGCAAGTGTGAAAACTACAGAGGCATCACTCTTCTTTCAATACCAGGCAAAGTCTTCAACAGAGTATTGTTAAACAGAATGAAGGACTTCGTAGACTTCCAACTTCGAGATCAACAGGCTGGATTTCGTAAGGATCGATCAGGTACTGACCAAATTGCTACATTACGGATCATTGTGGAACAATCAATTGAATGGAACTCACCACTCTACATCAACTTCATCGACTACGAGAAAGCATTTGATAGCGTGGATAGGAAAACACTGTGGAGGCTTCTTCGACACTACGGTGTGCCTGAGAAAATAGTCAACATCATACGGAATTCTTATGATGGATTCAACTGCAAAATCGTGCACGGAGGTCAGCTGACAAACTCGTTTGAGGTGAAGACCGGTGTCAGGCAAGGTTGCTTACACTCACCCTTTCTCTTTCTCCTGGTCATCGACTGGATTATGAAGACGTCAACATCTGGAGGGAAGCACGGTATCAACTGGACAGTTAGGACGCAGCTGGACGATCTGGACTTCGCAGATGACCTGGCTCTTCTATCGCACACTCAACAACAAATGCAAGAGAAGACGACCAGTGTAGCAGCAGACTCTGCAGCAGTTGACCTCAACATACATAAAGGTAAGAGCAAAATTCTCCGACGCAACACAACATGCACCAACCGAATCACTCTCGATGGAGATGCCTTGGAGGACGTTAAATCTTTAACATATCTTGGCAGCATCATCGACGAGAAAGGTGGATCGGATGCAGATGTGAGGGCGCGGATCGGCAAAGCAAGGGCTGCATTTCTACAGTTGAAAAATATCTGGAACTCCAAACAACTTTCAACCAAAACCAAAATCACGATTTTCAATACAAATGTCAAGACAGTTCTACTGTATGGAGCGGAAACATGGAGAACTACCAAAGCCATCATCCAGAAGATACAAGTGTTTATTAACAGTTGTCTACACAAAATACTTCGTATTCGTTGGCCAGACACCATCAGCAACAACGTACTGTGGGAGAGAACAAGTCAGATTCCAATGGAGGAGGAAATCAGGAAGAAGCGGTGGAAATGGATAGGACATACACTACGAAAAGCACCTAACTGCGTCACTAGACAAGCCCTCACATGGAACCCTCAAGGCAAAAGGAAAAGAGGAAGGCCAAGGAACACACTACGCCGAGAAATAGAGAAAGATATGAGAGGAATGAACAAACATTGGACAGAACTGGAGAGGGAAGCCCAGGACAGAGTTGGTTGGAGAAAACTGGTGGGCGGCCTATGCTCCATTGGGGGTAACAGGCGAAAGTAAGTAAGTAAGTTTTAAAAGTATTATATATATATATACTACTTATATTTAAGTTGAGTAGTATGATCAAAATGAGACAAAAAAAGACAGTAAGGAAGGAAGGAAATTCAGTGAAACAATCAATTTTTATATATCAATGAACAACTGGTAATAATTAGCCAAAAAAAACTATATGAACTCTTGTTTATTATTGATAAAGTAGTTTAAAAAAATGTGAATGTTTTAGTTACTACGTATAGAGTGGCAAAAAAGAATTATTCGAATACGTTCGGAAATGATTGTTAGGTTAACAGAACAAGCTACAGGTCAAATGTGGAGAAATTCGAATGCTTCACTTGTGTCTGAAGTTTGTGCTGATGATGTTGTTCAGCGGAAGAACAATGAAAGCTCCACAACCAAAAAAAGCAACCAGCTCAGAGGACGAAACACCACCACAATCATCCACCTGAGCTACAAGTTTTCTCCACGTTCGGAAATGAATGCATATGTAAAATAATGTAAAAGAGCATTTGTTTTACTACAATGAAGAGAAGACACACACACACTGATCCCTAAAAAGTAACAACAAGAATCATCATGGTGGAGAAAACTTGTAGCTCAGGTGGATGATTGTGGTGGTGTTTCGTTCTCTGAGCTGGTTGTTGTTTTTGGTTGTGGAGCTTTCATCAGCGTTCTTTTGCTGAACAACATCACTAGCACAAACTTTAGATAGAAGATGTGAAGCATTCGAATTTCTCCACGTTTGACCTGTAGCTTGTTCTGTCAACCTCGATCTTGATTGGTTGTTGTTGACCTTAAACCTGTCATTGTTTGAACCATTGTTCTGATTGTGCCCCCTTTTGATCTGTTTCTTGATCCTATGTCACCTATGATTTTTCCGAATGGTTGATAAGCTCCACAACCAAAACAACCAGCTCAGAGAACGAAACACCACCACAAGAATCATCATTTTTAAATATTCCCACAAATTATTTCTTGATAAAAACCTAATGGTGAGGTTAGATCCCCAGAACTCACTTGATAAAGGTCCTCATTTCGGATTTTACTCATTTTCACGTGGCCTGATCAGTTGACCTTAAGATTACATTTCCCACCCGGAAAATCCTTGACTGTTATTGGTTGATGCATTATTTTAGTATGCTATTTTTGTGGCTCTCTTAAGGACGTTTCTATGATGGGTAAATAAACTCGATTAGTGTGCTTGTCGACCTCATATATTTTGTGGGTGCCTGTACAATACACTTTCTATGCCATGTAAAGACTATTTGACACCGTTAGCAGGGCTTTGAAACACTCGGATTAGAGTAGTCCATCATGTCATTGGATCATTTGTTTTAACTCTCGTTTACCGACTAAGGTGAACTCGTAATAATTTCAAGCATATCAGTTGATGAACTTAACAAAATATCAACAAACTAAACATCTAATATTTGATATGCCTTAGATTGATCAGAGTTAAACGTTAACACCATTGAATGCCGGCACAGTGGTCCAGAGGTTAGGCATTCGCGCGCAAGACCGAAGGTCCTGACTTCTTATCCTGCAAGGTGCAGGAGTTGTGGATACGCACCTCCCATTGATGAGTCCCATGTCAGGAAGAAACGGTCGTCTTAAGTGCTTCCAGTTTTCTAATATTGATGGTCTAATAATTATTGATTGATGATTTCAACTTATCAACTGTGTAAGTTCTCTAATGAGAGAAAATTTTTTTGTGGTCGGTAAATATAAGATTGAAATAACAACAAAAAGACTAGCTGATAAACAGAATACTGCACGTTTTTGGTACTTGTTATTCGTCGTCTGGATGTTTTAAATTTTTCGGAACAATACATTTTATTAATGACAATGAATCTCTGGTAAAAAGCTACAAGAATTAGACAGGTTCAAAACTTTATAATATTTTTGTTAACTACTTAATCTGCTTGTAAGTAGATAAATTCGATTTAATAAAATGTTTTGAAAAACTGCATGCGTATATATTTACAGTTTTACAGTCAAAATATTATTGTCACTGAAAAGCTATTGGAAGATAGGAGCCAACAAATAGATGTTTAATTCAAGTATAGGATTCCTAAACGATAAATTTTCGCGTCCTACCAGAGGTTCAACCAATGATGTTCCAGTTTTATAAAGAGTGTTTAGTCTTAAGAATACAAAATCGATATCTAGTCATTCACATTTCTAATGTATATTAATTCACAACTGAATTAATATAGGAATAGGTTGGAAGAAAGTTAGGGGCGGCCAGACCAAAACATGGCACAAATCCATGAAGTCACTGACAAGTGGACTGAGTCATGTTGGTAGATGTAGGCTATGTGGTTGGGGTCCGCGAGACGGAAATCACCAATGGTTAGAGACCTTGAATGACATGGCTCAAAATCGTTTGCGATGGCGCAGATGCATCCACTCGTTGTTGTTCTCTCAAATTCTAATCTTCTGGATTCGTCAACATCTCTGTCTTTTTCTTTCTAAACTTATCTCACTGAACTATACTTCTTGAATAATATCTTCAAACCCTAATCTCCTTCATCACTGCTAATACTTCTACTATCTTTATCCCTATGGGATTTGATTTGACATATGCATCTCTGCGCTAATATGGTATGGGGCAACATGAACTTATGTACATACATACGAAGTTCTACGTTACAACTGACTGAGTCATATTCACAACTACCTTTAAATGTCACTAACAACCAACTGTCTTGGATCCAACATGAATAAACTTCACTAATTATGACTTGTAACAGTAACATCAACTCTCCTAAAAAAATGCATCACCAATAGGCATACAATTGTGATGTGCGCTACTTATAAGTAGTATATGACGTGAGTGTAAACGTAATGTCTGGTGGCAGCAGAAGATGGAGGAAGATCAAGAAAGGAAGAGTTAGAACACAATGTAATTTGTATGAAACGCATGAATATTAACAATGGAGTTGATGTTTTGCAACAGGAACAGTCCTCCAGTTCGATATGATGAACTGATATTTTGCAAATGAACGATTTACGCGATATGGTTTTCCAATTTTACTGAGTAACTCTGTAATTTTCGTTAAATACAATTCGGTTGCCTTCACCTGTGTTCTCATTCACTCCACAATTAGTATATTAAAACTACACCAACAACCATTTTAAAAAAACCGTGAAAAGTATTGATTTTTTTCTCTAAAATAAAATTTATAAACTCTATTCATTGAATTTATTATTCCGTCTATATTCATGTTATTTTTTTTTTCAAAAAAAAAACTAAAGCTATACACAAATTGGGCAAATTATTATTTAGAAAAAGCAAATATACAAAATTTATAAAAAATATACAAAATGATTTATCAAATGGGCTATTATTAGCTGATATTATACATGCTGTTGGTAAGTTCACTGATTCATTTTTGATATGATGATGATCATGATCTCATACTTTTCCAGGGATACAATTTACTAATGCTTCTCATTTTTATGGGTTTTGAATATGTATTCATGTTAAGGTTTAAAACTGCTCTAATTGAATTTCATGTTACTGATTTTTTTTATGAATAAAAATCTTACTACTTATATTTAGCTAGTAGTATAATTAAAATGAACGATATTTTGAGGGTTTAATTTATGATATATGAAATTAGTATTGAAAATATACAAAAAGATTTATCGAATAGGCTATTATTAGCTGATATTATACATGCTGTGTGTAAGTTCAATAGTGCATTTGATAGTAAGATTTATTACTGCTACATGATATAAACACGTGTTTTGTTTTCTGTAAGGATATTCATCCAATATCCTAAGAGAATTATTGGTCAGATCCTACTGGTCAATTTTATTGTCGTCCTAGTAGATATCAATGTCACGTGATCCAATGTTGTTTCTCATTGGTTGTCCTGACTATCGATGTCACTTCAAATGTTACTTCCTATTGGTCGTCCTAACTATCAATGTCACGGACTTTGATGTTGTTTCCTATTCGACCTAAATGTATAAATACCCATTATCTGCAACGTTTTATGATCCGGACCCGGATCCTCAGTCCGGGATCCTGATTCTCTTCTGGATTCGGACCTCGTACTTTCTGGATGCTTGTAGAATACATGTTCTACTTCATATCATGTCTTCTTATTTTTACTCAATATGGGGGTTGGGATAATCGGATTTGAGAAGAATGTCGTGTCACTGGATCCTCAATCCTCGCTCTCGTTTTCCGACTAAGGTAAACTCGTAATAGTTCAAATATATCAAGTTGACGTGTTTACGTGCAGGCATAATAAAAACATGACACAAATCCATCAAGTCACTGACAAGTGGACTGAGTCATGTTGGTAGATGTAGGCTAACCTGGTTGGGTCGCAAGACGAAAGTCATCAATGGTTAGAGACCTGAATGACATGGCTCAAAATAATTTGCAAAGATGCAGTTGCATCTACTCTTTGTGTTCTCTTAATTTCTAATCTTCTGAATTCCTCATCACCTTCATCTCTCTCTTTCTAAACTTATCTCACTGAATTATACTTATTGAGTAATATCTTCGGACCGTGATCTTTCCGATTACCGCTAATACCTCTACTATCTTTATCACTATGGGATTTGATTTGACATTTGCGTCTCTGTGTTAACGTGGTGTGTCAACCTGAACTGACGTACTTACGTACGAAGTTCTACGTTATGCCTGACTGACTAACTGACATATATAGATATATATATTCCCTGTCAGTCTTTTCATGTCATTGATTTCAGTCATGTTTGTCATTTCTTCCTCCTCCATTTACACTTTGATGCATTTTTAATTTAATTTAATTTTTCCCTTTACAAATTCACCTTGTATTCTTTCTTTTTTGTTTGTTAGCTAATATCAAAGTTCAACAATTATATCAAAATCCAACAACTTCTGATCAATCAGTAAGTGGATAATTAAATCATTTCGCTTATATTTTATTTACTATGAGTTATCAGTTGTCAGAGGGTATTGTAACGCTTACTTAAAATAATTCCCAGCTAATTCCTATTGCTTAGTATTCTCTGACCACACAATACACTAGACAAGTTTCAAAGAAATCAAAAAACACGGTTGAACATGAAAAGATTATATTCCAAATAGTAAGGTTAAATGGAAATACGAAGCCGAAGTAGACAGAATGTTAGTGTCTTTACATGAGAAGCTTCTGGATAGTAGAAATTCAAGTGATCGACTGGATTAGATTTAGCCAATCAGCACGCAGCTAACAATACGAGAATTTTCTACCCCGTCCTCCAAGAATCGACCAGGCGCTGATTGGATTGGAAATTAGCCAATCAGCGCGCAGCTGAAACAGTCATGCTTTATTCCATGTCCCACTAACAGAGGGCATGTGAACAAAGTTAAGTTTCATTGAAATCAGGGAATTTGGATTTTAAGTTAGATCACTAGATGGCGGTTTCGACTTAGTGCTAGTCAATTTCAATGTAGGACTTTGTACGCACGTACGTCAGTGTTCAAGTTACCATACCACATTAGCACAGAGACGCAAATGTCGATTCAAATCCCATAGCGATAAAGATAGTAGAGGTATTAATAGTAATGAAGAAGACTAGGGTTCGAAGATATTATTCAAGAAGTATAATTCAGTGAGATAAGGTTAGAAAGATAAATGTAGAGGTGTTGACGAATCCAGAAGATTAGGATTTGAGAGAGCAAAACGAATGGATGCACTTGCGCCCATTGCAAACGATTTTGAGCCATGTCGTTCAAGGTCTCTAACCATCGGTGACTTTCGTCCCAAGGACCACAACCAGATAGTCCGCATCTACCAACATGACTCAGTCCACTTGTAAGTGATTTCACGGATTTGTGCCATGTTTTGGTTTGGTCGCCCCAAACTTTCTTCCAACCTACTCCTATACCACAAAACATAACTTGTCGAGGCAGTTGGTGTTCTACCTAGTGTGCAATTCTTCAGTGGTTGTATGCTTCCGTTGATCCCGCAATCGGCGATCAAAATTAGGGATCTTTGGTTTCATACGCGAATACTTAACCTTTAGACTACCGACCTCACCCACGATAATGCAATAATGCATAGTAAATGTGTAGCTGTCGTTTATACTATTGTAGTGAAGGAAAACACAGGTTAGGGCAACCAAATTGTATATATCGCAAATTACAGAGTTAATTGGTAAAATAGGAAAACTATATCGTAAACCGTTAATTTGCAAATCTTCAATCCATCATCGATCGATTGTCTGACATTTCACTTATGCATGCGTTTGCTTCCCCGATTCCATTGTGTTCCCACTCTTCTTAATTTCTTGATCTTCCCCCGTCTTCTGCTGCCACTAGACATTACGTTGACACTCACTTCATATACTACTTATAAGTAGCGCGCACCACACTATCACTAAATTAAATACTCATTATACGGAGACTAGATCATATTATATCAGATACCTGATTCAAGACAAAAAATACAGAACCATAGTATAGGCGACAGACAATACTTTATTCCACTCCACACTCTTGTAAGCAGTCAGACTTAATGAGTATAGAGTAGAAATCAACAAGACGAAAGGAAACAATAAGTTGCTTACCTGTTTGTTCACGCGTAATGACCATATCAGACATTAGAATGGAAGATCAGTGGAAGAAGACCTCCAATAATTCTCTTGCTACGTAAGTAAATGTTTGACTATAAGGTGTACACATTTTGCTTAGTTATCAGTGTCTTACTGCCTTGAATAGTGAGTCGATTAATATAAACTCTTTAATCTTCTCGATACGTGTGATTCTTCCTTTTTATGTTCGTACTGAATGATATGAACTCTCGTAAACTATTGTCTGCTGTATAGAGTTATTAGAAGTAGCTAAGAAATCAGATCTTGAGTTCTTTGAACCAACGTATCATTTCAAAGGGGGATGTGTATTTGTGTGGATTTCTAATAACACCATCATAGAATAATCCACTCC